GGCTGTGGGTTTGTTTATATAGGTATATAGCTTTAATTATGTTGAGGTATGTTCCCTCCATTCTAATTCCCTCTAGGACTTTAAACATAAATGCATACTGAATTTTGTCAAAGACCTTCTCTGCATCTATTGAGACAACCATGTGGTTTTTGTCTTTGAGTCCATTTATATGATTTATGACACTTACTGACTTACATGTATTGAACCATTTTTGCACCTCTGAAATAAGCCAACTTGATCATGGTAGATGATCTTTTTGATGTGCGTCTGTATGTGGTTTGCAAATATTTTGTTGAGAATATTTGCATCTCTTCATTAAAGATATGGGTCTATAGTTTTCTTTTTTGGTTGTATCTTTACCTGGTTTTTGGTATTACAGTGATGCTGGCTTCATAAAAGGAATTTGGGAGTACTCCCTCTGTTTCTGTCTTTTTGAATAATTGAAGTAATTTTGCATATAAATCTTCTTTAAATGTCTAGTAGAATTTTGTTGTGAATCCATCTGGGTCTGGGCATTTTTTAGTTGGGAGGTTTGTACTACTGTTTCAATTTCCTTTATATTATGAGTCTATTTAAGCTGTTGATCTCTTCTTGGTTTAGCTTTGGTGACTCCCACAATTTTAGATATTCATCCATTTCTTTTATATTTTCAAATTTAATAAAGTATAGGTTTTAAAGTATTCCCTTGTAATGGTCTGGATCTTTTGGGTGTCTGTTGTGATGTTTCCCCTTTCATCTCTGATTTTGTTTATTTGGATTTGCTCTTTCTTTTGGTTAACTGGGCTAAAGGTCTGTCTATCTTGTTTAGCATTTCAAAGAACCAGCTCTTGAATTCATTAATTCTCTGTATTGTTCTCTTTATTTCTATTTCATTAATTTCTGCTCTGATTTTTGTTATTTCTTCTGGTCTACTGGGTTGGGGTTTCATTTGTTGTTGCCTTTCAAGAGTCTTGAGTTGCAATGTTAATTCATTTATTTGAGTTCTTTTTGATTTTTTTAATGTAGGCACTTAGAATTATAAACATCCCTCATAGGACTTCTTTTAAAGTGTCCCAGAGATTTTGTTGTGTTTTATTGTCCTTTTTGTTTAATTCCAGAATACTTTTATTTCTTTCTTAATTTCTCCTTTGACCCATTCATCATTCAGGAGTATGTTGTTTAATCTCCTTGTGTTCATGTAGTTACTAAGGCTTCTTCCAGTGTTGATTTTAAGCTTTATTGCATTGTGGTCTGATGGAATGCATGTAATTATTTCAATCTTTTTGTATTTGTTGAGGTTTATTTTATTCCCTAATTTGTGGTTGATTTTGGAGAAAGTTCCAAGGAGTCCTGAATAGAAAGTATATTCTTTGGTGATTGGGTGGAATATTTGGTAGATGACTGTTAGGTCCATTTGATGTATGATATTGTTTAATTCAAATGGCTCTCTGTTTATTCTTTGTCCAGTTAACCTGTCTAATTGAAACAGTAGGGTATTAAACTCCCCTGTTATTAGTGTTTTGAGATTAATTTGGGTCTTAAAGTCCTTGTAGTACTGTTTTTATGAAGTTGGGTGCACCATAGTTTGGTACATACGTGTTCACAATTGTGTTATCTCTTGGTTAATTGTTCCTTTGATCAGAATGAAGTGGCCCTCTTTATCTTTTCTTATTAGTTTCAGTTTGAAGTCTATTTTGTCATATTAGAATTGCAATTCCTGCTTGTTTCTTACTGCCATTGTTTGGATTTTTTTTCCATCCTTTCATCTTAAGGTAGTGCCTGTCCTTGAAGGTGAGATGGGTTTCTTGAAGACAATAAAAAGAGGTATTTTGTTTCTTAATCCATTCAACTAGCCTGTGTCTTTTGACTGGGGAGTTCAATCCATTGATATATAAAGTTATGTTTGAAAGATGTGTATTAGTTCCCGTCCTTTTAATTTCTGTTTGCTTTCTTGGTCTAACTTTGTGTTTCCACAGTTATACCTTCATTTAGTTTTTTTCTGTTGCCTCTTGGGTATAGTCATTCCTTCAGTTCCTTGTATTACTTCAAGAACTCTCTGAAGGGCTGGTTTTGTGGACATGAATTCTTTCAGCCTATTCATCTTGTGGAAGATTTTTCTTTCCCCTTCAACTATGGTAGACATTTTTGCTAAGTAAATTACTCTGGATTGGCATCTATGGTCATTTAGAACTGGGAATACTTTGGTCCAGGCTCTTCTGCCTTTCATAGTTTGCACTGAAAAGTCAGCTGTAATTCTGATGAACTTTCCTTTACATGGAACTTGTTGATTTTCTTTTTCAGCTTCAAGTATTCTGTCTTTATTCTGTATATTTAGTGTTTTGGGATTTTTTGGGGGGGGGTTCTTTTTGAGACAGGGTCTCCCTGTAGCCCCAGC